TTTCCCAGGGATGGAGGTGAGGCAGAAAAAGTATGTCTGAATACTACATTTATAGGGATTTATGGGATAAGTGGATCCTATGAAAAACAGATATTTCTTTCTAGATCTCTAAGTTTATCCATAAAATTCAGTGCATTTGGCAACAGAGCCAATAAGAACAATTTCTAATGCAAAAATATTGAAGTAGTCTTACTTTAAATGAGAGCTTTACTTTACATAAGTTCGATGGTAATACTTAGGCTCAGTTTGACTTTACATTGGTAACTTCTCAGAAAACTGGGTGCAGTTTTAGATGACACCTCAAGCTATATGTGGATCCACTGGACACAGTCCAAAAGAGTGAATGTAAGAAGGAAAATGTAGGGTTTTTTAGTCCAGAATTCCAAAGACAGATTGCCAACAATCTCAAATTCATAAAAAAGCAGCTTTTCAAAGTAATGCAAAGGAATGGTCTGTTATTTCCAGTGACAGAGGATAGGACAAGATGGGACACACATAAATTATCATATAATTCGTTTAGTCGGGAAGTAAAAATTTCTTATGTTGAGTGCAGCCAAACTCAGTAACAGATTATATTGTGAGAATGTATCTCTATCACTATGAATCTTGAAGATTAACATAAAGACATAAATAATTGAGTAAAGAAGAATCAGTCTTAGAAAGGGAGTAAATGACCTCTGGAAGTAATTTCCAGGCCTATGTTCTTGTATACACTAGAGTACTGGACTGACCAGGCTATCACTTAGCAATTGATACTCAACATAGTGAAGATTAAATTAGAATTTAGCTGTCAGGATATAAGATGAAAAGGCATTAGCTTTTCATATCAACTAGATAACAAAGTCCTTTTTATAAGGACCTTTATGAGGTAAAAATAACATGAAATGTGGAGACTGGTGACCATGTTCTGATCTTCCAAATGTATCAATTGAATAATTTTTAAGTTAGTCACTTCTTAGTGTTCTCCTAATACTTTATTACAATTGTACATAGTTAATTTTGATAAACATAGCATATAGTAATGATTTTGTTAAAAGTGCTGAGAAGTTATATGTCTTATGAAATATTTCTAATATTTCTAGAATAAATAATATTTCAATCTCTTCTTAATTGGATGGGGGTTATATTCTTCTATCAAAACATTGGGCAATATAAATGATACTTCATGAATGATGTTTTATAAGTAACTGCTTTATGAAAGCAACAATATGCATAAAACCTAAAATCTGATGCTTTCCTGTGTAAGTAAATGTATATCCAGGGGTTCAAGTTGGATGTTTTTAAGTGTGCTGAGGTTGAAGTTTTTGTTTCAAACAAAATATAAGAGAAATTGTGCTCTTTCTGATTGGATAAATTATGGGCAGATTTCTGTATTCAGCCAAGAACTTCCAAGTCATGACAAGAATCCTCCATAGCATTCTTGTCAGAGATTCACAAAATTCAACACTTGCAGAAAAAGCAGTGAAACAACAGGCAATGAGCGCACCGCTATTTGGGATTGTCATTGAGGATTTCTAAATACATGGGAACTGTCTCTGACTCAGGAAGCCCCTGAGATGCAAAAGATACTGGGAAAATACTCAGGGGAAGTATCATTTATATGCATTGTTCTTATGCCTGTACTGAGAAAATCTGCCTGTCACTTTTTCAAGCTATTTCAAGGATCAGAAGTTTAGCAACATTCTCACTTATCAGCTGAAGCAAGGTAATGCCTATGTGAACATCTCACACTGCAGCCAATGCAAGGGAAAGCAAATCACCTTTAGATTCTTTCACCATGGGCCAAGTCACCATAATTCACTTTCTGGCGACTGAAAACAATTGCAAAAACAAATTTTGAGGCTCAGCTGACAGGTAGTATCCTGGCGGGATGCTCTAACTTGGCCTTGTGCCCACAAATCTGTTCCAGAGACATTAAGCATTCTTCTATTGGAAATCAATCTGAAATGCCTTAGATATGTACTCAGTGCTCCATTCTGGGGACAGTTTGTTACATTTTGAGTGCTGTTCCTTGCAAAAAGCTGTATATGTAGCTCACTGGGGTGAGAAATGCTAGAAATGATATATGGATTTAACCTTTTTTTTCCAGTTTACTGGAATAAATTTTCCAGTTTACATTATTTTCATGTTATGAAATTTTTTTACTATTTTGACAAATGTTAAGTTTAAATGAAGAAATTATTTGAATTTATATGCTTTGTCTCCCTTTAAAGTAATACAAGCATGCTCAGTTTAAAATTTACCAAGGCACAGGAAAAGCAGCTAAGATATTTAACTACCATGTAAAGTTCACAGGGGCTAAGAATCCAGCTCATGCATTTACTTTTGAAGCCATTTCGTAAAATCAACATTAAGATAGAGTCAAGTAGCATAGCATGGCTCTTGAAAGGACAAGAAACACATACACAAAACTCTGTTGATGCCACTGTATTATTCTCCCAGTATTTAATTTCTTATACTGGTGAACAGGGAGGAGAGAAAGGAGGAGAGAGAATAATAGTTTTGATATAGACCAAATAAAACTGACAGCTAATAAGATCACAGAGAGAAATGTGTGTTTTCCTTACATTTTTATTTTCAGCCTTGACTATAACAATGTCACAGTCTTGAGCTTCAGCTTATCTCAGCCTTTATTCCTGACATAAATATATTCGGTTCACCTCATAGAGATAACAGGATCACCCAAACTGTCAAGATAGCAAGCAACCTGCCTGTAGATTTCATATCATTCATCATTAAAGAGCTCTCTGTGATGTTGCCAAAACTAACAGAGAGTCTGATATCTTTTAGAAAAAAAAAAAAAGGTTTTCCAAAACCTGTTATCATTGCTACTTTTCTTAATTAGTTTGTGGTACAAAACTGAAATCTACTCACTAAACAAATGTTTTGGTGTTTAATTCAATTTCTGATATTTCTTAAGGAATGAGAGTGTCATTTCAAGGAGCAAAGCGTAGCAGACTGTTTGACAAGTACTTTAGTGTGATTACATCTTTCTCTTCTTGAACTACAAACTACCCAGTGCCATGCAGCCTATTTCCAGAAGACTAGTACACAGAGTATAGTTTAAAAGACTAGACTGATCTGTCTCCAAAGGCTAGCTGCAGGTCCTTTTACTCTGTGCTGATTTGTTGCATTTGTGGTTTCCTCAGCCTTCCATAATTCTCCCTCCTTGTCCTTATTCCTTTCATTTGCTACCAGTATATTCCAATGTGTGGTTTTCCTCTTGATTTAAGGACTGCTGCAGCAAAATATATGTGAACCTTGTGGAATGGTTGTTCAACAGCAGACTGACCTTAGCAGGGCATTGACCTGCCATAGAAGTCAAGGCAGGAAAATAAACAAAAGCCTCAGCTCCCAGAATTAGCTGTCTGGGAAGAAAGGTATTTTCAGGCAGCTCAATACATGAACGAGTCTGCTCTTCAACGCAGACACAACTCACATTTAGGAGCTTCTCACTAGACTCTAGTCTGCCCTGGAAGTAAGACACTTTAATTTAGCATGCTGTCTAAAGGGAAAGGTCAACAATTTTAATTTAGATAAACTACTAACTTCTTATCTGTCTTCAGAGCTACCTGGTTAGCTTCTTTTTTTATAGAAATGGAAAGGTAGTGTCTGATGACTTGTCTATCAGAAGAGGTTTTCCATGTTGACTTTTAATAAGATATCACTAGAGGAAGTTAGGAAAGTTTGAAAAATCAGCTCCTTAAAGACTTTACTGACTGACTCATTTCCAATCTGTAAAAGAGAATGAAGAGCTAGGTTGTGTATTTGTTATACATTTCCAGTGATGGGAACCCATCTTCTGTTAGCAGATGATAGCTGTAGAGGCTCATATATGCCTGAATGTGGCCTGATCTGGATTCAGTCAGAGTGCCAGTAAACACAAATAATATTAGTCTAACAGCGTGATCCAAAATACTGAACAATTTATATGCTATATATTTTTTTCCAGGAAAGTTAGAAATCGCTGAGGGAGAATTTCCAAAGAAGATCAGATGTGAAGACAGGGGCATTTCTTGGTCATACAGTCATCAAACAAAAGAATCCAGATTTAAGCTTTCTAGTTTAATGTGGTGTCTTAGAGATAAAACTGAGCTTGCCCATATAGGGACTAGAATAATCATCATTTGCCAGAGAAAGTTCTTACTCTTATGCATAGCTTTAGGTGTCTGTATGGGGAGATAATCTCAGATATTCCTTCTCTGCATTGGAGGGAAAAAATATCAGTTATATACACTATATTTGCTGGAAGTCAGATGGACTTGGTGCTTTAAACTTTCCCAGTATAACTTCTCTGTGCTCTCCTCCACCTTGATTCATTCCTTCTGCAGTTGAACTCAGCTCAGCTCACTAAGGGTACTGACTTTCATACTCCAGAACAGTTAAGTGGCACAATTTGAACAGGAGGTTGCAGGTCTAGTTTTTCACAAGTGAGTGAATTAGCCGTTACATTAACTATGTATATATATATGTATGTATGTATATATGTATATATGTATGTATGTATATATGTATATATGTATAATGCTCATATATATCAGAAAGCTGAATCACCATGATTATTTCAATAACAGAATCACACTCCTAAGTGAAATAGTTAATATACTGCAAGTCTAGGTTCTGATTGTTTTTAAACTTTACCTTCTAATAACTGTTTCCCTGTATTTTCTCTCTTCTTTTTTTCTGGTGGATTCTCCCACTTCTCACAAAGTTCTTTTCTTCTGTCTTACTTTGCCTTTCTTGTCTCAACAATAACACTAACTTATGCCTTCCTCCTTGACATTGTTGTGACAGCTTCAGTGCGCAAGTATACTAACTGGATCTCTGATCCTGCTGATAGGACTCTTGAGGTATTGGCACTACCACAATATATATACAGAAAAGAATAGGAGTAATAATAATAAAAGGAATTTTCACACAGTACTTACACATTTATGAATGCAGACAGGAGAACAGACTAGATTCCTATCAAGGTACAATATTTTCAGAGTTGTACTCACCTCCAGTCAACATGAGAGCACATTTACACATGCAGTTGTCATTGTCAGCATCTTTTGTACTGAATTCAGCACCATGTAAGATCAGGCTACTCTGTTTTCCAGCTGTTCCACTGTGACCTTTTAAATAAAGCCTGAAACAGCAAAATAAAATGATCAGTGTCACCAAAAGGAAAAATAAAAGCTCCAGATCTTTTTCAAGTTTGCTCTGTATAAAGTGGACCCAGAAAATTCAGAAAACTCTTGTGTATTGGTTCGATGTCTTTGTAGTTTCAGGTGTAAAATGAAGACATTCGGGGTTTTCTAATGTATCTGTAATACCATATTGTCCCTGGCCCAGAGCAGAACCAAGCACAGGGAATCTGCACCAGAAAATGCAACAAAAGGGTGCAACAAAGTCAGAAACAGAAAAGAGAATGAGGAGAATTGCACAGAGTTCTGGAATACATTGACAGAATAACCAGGTATTCGAGTAGCTGGTCTCTTTACTATGGCACAGAAACAGTGTTCTCAGTTAACAGCAGCCACATTATTAATCCCTGAGCTCAAAAAAGGGTTTCAGCAGTTTCAAAATTTTTAATTCCACCAGTTACAGCACAAACCAGCAACCCATTTCTGCCAAAGTTGTCTCTGAGTGATGAATGGAGAATAACTTAGAGTTCAACCCACAAAAGTCTTCATGATTTGCAATGCTAAATATCCTTTTTCTTAAGAAGCCTTGTCAACTAGTTGAAACCACAACCATAAGCTAAAAGTTCCAGCAAGTCACACACATTTGTGGTGCTCAATGCCGTAATGCCAGTGCCAAGCATGCCAGCGGCAAGGATGCTGAATGAAGTATATTTGTCCCAGCAAGGAAATAGCTGGGCATGTCTGACCTAAGTTCACAAATGCTGGGATATGCACAAGAAAACGCTGAGGAGAGGAGAGGAGAGGAGAGGACAAGGTTGCACATAATAGTTTCCCTTGCCTCTGCTTAAGCATCTGTATGAGACAGACATCATTGGGAAATAGACACATTGTTCATATGCAGGAAGGAGGAGGCAGGATCTCAGCTCTGCTGGAGAAATATAAAGCCATAATCCTTACATTGCAAGGACAAGCCCTAGCTATTGGAGCAATAGAGAAGGGAAGGAGCATCCCTCACCTGTCTCATTGAAGCTTTACAGGCAGGAATACAGGGCTAACCAAGAACATTATTTGGTATCTAGTGGAATAAACTTCTTCAGTGAAGAAAAGGTGAGAAACATGAGTTCTGTTTCTTCTAGAGTTATTGAAGAGGAGCAAGTAAAATATTGACTATAAAATGTCAAAGGATCCATGGGAGCAGAAACAGGACTTAAGTGTGCAAAGCAGGAGAGGTGCTTCTTTCTCTCTGGTATTTACAGCTGGGAGTACTATCCTAGAAAATGCCTTCCCAACATCTCCCACAAACACAGTGAACAAGGAGAGCAGCTATGAGTCACAGATTGTTGTTGCTTCCTTTTAGATCGATGCTGAATTTTTATCCAATGTCTTTGGGTGAATAAAAAAGTAAATGTTTTCACCAGTGTCATTCCTCCATTTGTTTAGATGGAAGATAGATACTTCACTGCAAAGTGGTCACAGCGTTAACAGCAGGAGTAGAGAGCATCCCTAACTCATTCTAGCTACTGGAATTTTTCTGAGATGAGAAGAGTCTCTACCACCAGACTGAGATTTAAATAAAACCTAATTCTCCCATAGAACTTCGTGTTTGGAGCTTTGTTTATGAGAGGGGGGAGAAGGGGCACATAGGCACCATATGGCAACTTTCCTTAATCAAGTGCATGGCTGCTAACTGGTTTTAATTTTTTTCTTCGTCTTGCATGCATCTGTGAGTGGATGTTAGATCCAAACAATGCCAATTTCATTAAAATTGGAATGGAAACTCATTACAGAGTTTGCTCTTTTGGATATCCCAGTGAGTTTACTAAGCCCTTTCAAGATGTGAAGGCACAGAACCAGCACTTGGGGCTCTAGAGAATACAAGATTCACTTTCAGACTGACTTGAACATCACCTAATTTTTAGCAAAATTCTTCCTATGTGTCCTTTCTCCATCTTTAAAAATTGAGATGATAGATGCCAAACATGAACATGTCAAAAAAATGGATAAAGAACAGAGAACTGTCAGAGCTATCCTTTCAAAGTAGTTACATTGCCTACCTTCATTTGATTTTAATGTTGTATGTCTCCTGATGTGAGCCTGATGATTAAATACCTTTGGACTTATCCTTAGAGTAAATTTTATATACAGATAAGTACATGCACATACACATATAAAAATTCTTGGATTAAGTATAAATAATATGGATAGTCACATGGATGGATAAGGCAAAGTGTGAGCCTCAACAAAAGATCATGAAGATTCTTAGAAATTTAACAAGAAACAACCTTAGGAACAGGAATCCAGAAAGGTCGTTGCATTATGCTGTTGTCCAATCCCAGTGGCAATTAGCCCATAATTACCATGTTACTCTATCAAAAGATGCTTGTTTTAGATAAATTACTCTATGATCTGCCTTTGCTCATGTTCGTTTCTTTGTTCCATACAAATGAAAGGCTGGAATTGATCCCATCTTCATTCATTGGAATTTTGCCTTGTTTTGCAAGCTGTGTCTAATTTTTTGCAGAACAAAATAAACTTCCCTGAGGTTGTGCTGATAGAAAAATTACTTTGTCACATGATATCTACAATCTGATTTTAAATGGCCATACATCCTCACTGTATCAGCAACACCAAAGCTCACAGAAGTCTCATAAAGTCAGTATAAAAAGCAAATGCTGTTTACTTAAATCAGAAAGACAATGCTAGCCAGATCTTTTATTAACAGTCAACATTATAAAACCACTTAGTCCAATAAAAAATTCATATAGTGTAAGAAAACAATAAAGAAATGAATAATACTTGGTGTATGATGTTTTCCCCAAAGAGGTAGGGCATTAGGATTATTTACAAGCTCATACTCTTGTCCTGATATTTTATAAACATTCCACTCAGCACAGATTTAGATCTTGCCAGTTATGTTTGACTTTCCCTCAACACCATCTGTCTAGTAGGTCTCCAGCGACTTTAAAAGGATAAAGCTTAGCTTAGCTCTTAACTCTAGTAGGCTTACCACACTGCAGCAGTGTACCGAGGAACCATTGGGTGAAAGAGTAATTCTCTTGCTTTGGGCTTTTCTCCCTGAATAGGCATTGTCCAACAGTTAGAAAAAAATGACACTTACACCTGGTGTGTGGGACTATGTCTACACAGATAAGTGTGGACAAATATAAGCTGACATTGTTCTCCATGTTAGGCATACAACTGGCATCTTTGTTTTTAAAACCCATATGACTGCTATTATTTTATCCTCTAGTTTTGAAATGTCTGAGGTTGAGAATGGATTTAACTTGCACCTTCCATCTAGTCCACACTTGCATATAAATTTTAGACAACTTCAGTTTGTGAAATGAAACCAACTTCTAAAGATGCTGCATTTGGTATAATTTTATGAATTGCTATTTTAGTAAACTAAATTCCACTTAGAATGATGTTTAGGTGATTAAGTCCCTTTGTGAACCAAAGCCCACTGGTCTGCAATCTTTTAGGAAGCCCCAGCAAGAGATTACTCTCAGGTTACTCTTCTAATTCTACACATAGTACTAAGTAAAAAACCAACAGCCCCCCCCAAAAAAAATCCCAAAACATCTTCAAAACCAGATATCAGTTTTAAGTTCAGATTTTTTTCTCAAAAATGCTTTGATTAATTATTTATGGATCACAAATTATTTGTTTATCAATGAATAAAACATCGCACATAATTGTGTTCCCAGAGTAAATTGGGTAACTTTACACTGGCTCCTTGAAAAATTTCCCAACGTGCCTTTTCCTGAACATACTACAAAACTGCATGAAGTCTCCCAGTAGTAACAGCTGTCCCTGAATAGCAAAAGCACCTCTATAATATAAGCATCTTCCAAAAGTGTAATGATAATGTGTTGTGAACAGGAGACAAAATCTAAATAATCACTATAGAGAAAAACTGCTGTTGCTAAGGTTGAAGCTAAAATGTCTGCCAAAATCCTCTTAAACATGGAACCAAATATATTGTGGTAACTATCTGGGAAGCTTAACCCTGGTATTCAACATTTTCATCATTTAACACTAACAGGAAAGGATAAAGAGAAACATTCCTTGTGTGTGCTAATTTGCAAATTCAGTGGAAAGACCATCTCTTTGTTGAAGACAGAGCATGAGCCATCTGTGGTAACTGGGAGATCCCCGTGAGTTTGAACTTTTGTGGGTTGCAGAGTAAAAGGCATCATAGTCAGTGCTTTTGTCCAGATTACAGCTAGATTGCCTAGGCACCCATTTGCATCCTTTTTTCTTTATTAGGAAATAAATCTTCTTAAACATAATATACTTTTTCAGGGAAAAATGTTTAATTTAGGTTTTATTAAGCCAGTGCATACTCCTCTTAAGAAAACAAACAAAATTAAACCAAACCCAAATATTTCATCATAAATCAAGATTGATTAACTAACAAGAACTGAGCAGCAGATGAGGTAAGTAACCTTTAGAAGTAAATTAAAAGCCAGTCTCAAAGAAAGGAAAGTACTTTGGAGAAACTGAAGAAACTAGAGTGGAAGATAACAAAAAATTCTTTTGTCATTACTACTCTCAAAAAATTTTGAGCTGTTGCTAATCCATTCATTGAAGCTGCAAGAACAATTCACCACCTTTATCACAGCCCATTCTTGAAGGACTGATGTAAAAGTACTAAAGAGAATAAGAAAAGGAATGTCACAGTTGGTGTCTAACATGAGAAAAGCAGTGATATTAACTGTAAAAATCTAACAATACTAAATTTTTTCCACTCCTAACATTAGTAAATTCACGGACATTTTATTTAACTTTACTGTATTCCTAATAGAGTTTGTAACTCTGCAAACAGTAGGCATGATGGCTCTGCACTGTTGAAAACCTGAATAATGCAATAAGTAGCTCTGATGACTTGAACAGATTTTTAATTTGTTTCTTAATATTCTTGCTGCCAGCACATAAAAATAATTTCCTCCCACAATTGCTTAAGAAAAGTGTAAGACAAGATGCCCTCTGTATTTCTCCT